TCCAGTGCTAAACTTTTTTTTTTTTTTGGAGAGGTTTTACACTAACTACTGGTTCCAGGATTTATAAAATCTTAATTGGTTCCACAGTCTAGTGAATTACAGTTATAAAAAAAAAATAAAAAAAAAAAAAATAAATAAAAAAAAGAAGTATGATTGGCTGATTTGTGAGGTTAATTCACATTTCTTTTATATTTAATGTAAGACATCATTTGTTCTGTAATGAAAAATAGACATGATTTTTAGGTTATAGTAAGCTAACTAGAGAATTCAGATCAACTCTCCCATCGATGAGAACTAAAAAGCTACAGCTAGGGGCTGACAGTTGTCATGGTGGTTAAGGTGCTGGACTTCTACATGTCAGACCATGGTTCAAATTCCAGTCCTGGCAGCTTGCTTTCTCACGTTTTTTCTCTCTCTCTTACTCTGTCCCTCTCTGATTAAATTAAAATAAATAAATAAATAAATAAATAAGCAAATAAATAAAGTTACATTTGTTTTTAAAGCTACAGCTAAAATATTTTTAAAAATCTAAATGTTTCCTTAAAACACTAAAGAGCCAGAGAGCAGCATTACATAGACCCGGGAGGTCAGATGGAACTGCTTCAGCTCGAGACATTGCTAGTGTAGGGGTGGGGCGGGAGCAGAGGAGAGGTAGGACTATCTTCGCAGAGGACTTTTGAGTTGGGGAAGAGGGGGTGCAGTCTGAATCTGGTATTCGTCCAGGATAGAATTTCCCACTCTCTGGTCTAGGACCTCAAAAGCAGCACCATCCTGAGTCTCTTCTGCCCTGAGAGGCTGTACTGTGTTTTGGAGCACCTGAACAAGCTGCCGTGGTGTCTCCAGGATTGTGGATATTGGAATCACTGGACACAAACTACACAACAATATTTACTAGCTTCATGAAGATAAAAGCTGAGCTGTCAATATCTGTCGACAAAGCCCGTGCCCATTAGCAGATTTTGCTTTGCTGGACCTGTGTCATTTCAGACCTTTAGACTTCAGTGGACTAGAGGGAATTAGTATGAGGGAGGCACAGCCTGCCTTCCAATTATCACTGTGTAACAATCTTCCCAAAACCTAGTGGCTTAAAACAATAACTATTTTTTTTTGCCCACTAATTTGAAATTTAGGTAGGTCTCATGGAGAAGGCTCCTTTCTTCTCCATGTGGGCACTGGATGGGGTAGCTCAGTTGAGGGGGGGTTTGATGGGGTCAACTTGCAAGATGGCTCACTCTAATGGCTGGCAAGTTGGTCCTGGCTCTCAGTTGGGAGCTCATTAGTGGCTATGGGCCTGAGGTCTCACTTCCCCTCACCATGAGCCCTCTCCAGGTTGCTTGACCTTCCTGGCAGCTTGGTGTCTGGGTTCCAAAAGTGAGAGTCCTTAGAGAGAAGGTGCAAGTGCGTGACCTTTTTTGTCTTCCACCCTACAAGCTACACAGCACTGTCCTCCTACCATATTTTGTGGTAGACACAAGTCACAGAGACCCACTTCATTTGAAGGGGAAGGGACGTAAACCTCACTGACTCAGTAAAAAGAACAATGAGGTCACCTTGTAAAAAAGAGCTTGGGGTGAGAGCTATTGACACCATCTTTGAAAAAAAATGCAATCTGCCACACCTGATTGCGTGACTTTTCTTCAGCTTAATCATCTTCCCCAGTCCCTACAAGCAGACTCACTCCCTTCCTTCTTTCTTTCTGCTCTTCCTTGTTTTGCTCTCTCTCTCTCTTTTTTTCCAGAAGTGAACTTTGTGTGTTTAGCATGGTTTCAAACAAAGGAATCGTTGAGAAAGGTTTGATTCTTAGTAAGTTAAGCCAAAATCTAGACACCCAGACCAATGGCTGGACAGTGGATTGGACATGTGGGTGCTGGGTCTTTTTTGCGGGGGGGCTAGATGAAGAATATTTTTAAACAGTTCTGTAACTCCAACTTTTTTTCTAGCAGGTAAAGAATCCTGTGAACAAACTTCGGAAGTCAGTGAAGCACCGTCTACAGACAGTGATGACATCATAGTGCCACCTCTCTCTCAGAGACACATTAAGGCAGTGAGTACGCTGGAGGGATCATTCCATATGAGACAAAACTGGGCTTAGTGGCCACATTTGTGAAGTTTATCTCCAGTTCTTATCAAATCCCCATTTAATGAAACTGACGAGAAATCCAAGTTAGGTAGTTACATTTGCATTATGTGTGAATGGAAGTCCGTTGGTATAGTCAGCAGAAAGAATCATTTTCTTGACGTGGTGTAAAGGGTGGCATGTGTCAGCACCTCTCTCCCCTGTTTGGATCCCTTGCCTACCTGTCCTTGCTCAGGAGTCAGCCCTGGATAGAGAGAGAACAAGGGGAGGGGAGAATGGATGACACGGGGTGATCCGGGAGGGCCGTACCATGAAGAGTCCTTACAATCAGTGGTGACTCATTAAATGAAGCTCGTTAAACTAAGGGTTCCGGGACCAGCAGTTGGAGTAATGGCTATGTCGTTGGACTCCCATGTCATTGACCGCGGTTCGAGTCTGGACCCTGTGGCTTAAATTCACGCGGGCGTGTGTGCATGCACACCCAAGATCCTGAGAGGAGAATAGAGAAGGGACTGTGGCATGGCCATCCCCCGGGGAGGCAATTTCTCTCTTTCTGTCTCTCTGTCTCTCTGTCTTTCTGACAAGCGCACGTGTAGTGCAGTCAAGAGATGAACTGGGAACCAGCAGTTAGCATAATGGCTATGTCGCTGGACTCCCACATAGTCGAGTGTGGTTCGCGTCCCGCTGGCTTAAAACTCATGCCGGGCGTGTGTGCGTGCGTGCCCAAGATCCTGAGAGGAGAATGGAGGAGAAGGGATTGCGGCGTGACCATCCCCTCTGTCTGTCTGGCGAGCACACACGCCCTATAGCAAAAACCTCTCCAAAAAAAAAAAAAGAGATGAACTAAAATGACAGCCGTGGGACCGATAGGCTGGAGAGTTTGATGCGTATGAAATAGACTCTCTTTTTTATTGGTTCTACCTTCATGGTATAGTCACTTCTCACCACCTCCAGGTTCAAGTCACCTTCACCCCCCAATCTGGGTTTTTGCAATAGTCCCCTAACTGGCCTCCTCTCTACAGTCTGAATGGTCATTTTAAGATATTACATCAGATCTTGTCACTCTGCTCAAAACCCTCCAGCTGCTTCCCAGCTGTGTGGTCCTACAGTTGGCCTGAATCTGCTCTAGGGCTTCATGTCCTACCGCTGTCCGTCTTGGCGGCTCACTCTGCTGTTGCTCTAACACTGCACGCTGCTTCCACTCTGACCTTGCACATTCTGTTCCCTCTGCAGGAGGTGCTCCTTGCCCTTGTCCTCCCACCCTTCCTTTTATTCTCCCCCACAATGGAAGAGGGTGTGTGCACTTACCAGAGAGAGAGAGAGAGAGAGACAGAGAGAGGAATACAGCATGGTGCCCCCAGCTACCCCGTGGAGTGTTTTTCAAGCCACAGCCGGCCATGGGGGATCTTGCTCCCTTAACCACTGTGCTGCAGGTCAGCCCTCCCTCCCTTCCTTTCTGAAGATCTTTGCATAAATGTTATTTACTCAAATAATGCTCCCATCTCCATCCCAGTAGCCTTATTTAACTTTTTTACCCTGTTTAATTTTTCTCCATAACACACCACCTCTTCTGTAATGTGTATTGTTTATGCCCCTTCCTGCTACTAGACTGTAAGTAATTAAAAAAAAAAAAAAAAAATATATATATATATATATATATTTCCATCTGTTATCAACCATTATTTTTTTTTGCCCAGACCACTGCAGTCAGCCATGTAGAGATCCAGTGCCCTTAACCACCACACCACCTGCCAGCCCCTAGACTGTAAGTTCTATCAGGACACAGATCTTGTTTGTTTATTGCTCTGTCTCCAGTGATTAGAACAGTGCCTGGTTGCTTGTTGGTAGGTGCTCAGTAAAGATTTGTTCAATAAACGATTTGACAGGACTTCGTCATTATAGGCCTTTGCAGAGTGCGTCCCAGGTAAGTGGTGGAGATGTTGATACTAACACTCATTCTTCCAGCTTGTTGGCCTGGGGAATGGTGATGTCAGTAAGAAGTTGGACCAGGTTATCTTGGTGTCAGGTTGGAAAGGAGATGATAAATCCCATGATCTATTTTCTGGGACCTGAAATAACTGTGAGACAACCAGGTGGGGATGCCTGGTGGGCACGTGGATCTCTAAGTCTGGGGATGTTCCTGAGGCAGAGAAAGGGGTGGGCTCTATCAGCCTCGCGTTAGTTAAATGCCTGGCAATAGGCAGGACTGCTGGAGAAAGCACAAGGAGAGAGAGGAGGAGGCCCAGAATGGAATCCCGGGGTACCTCCCTCTTAGTCTCCTCAGTAGGAAGGGAGAGTAAGAGGGAGAGGCAGAGAGGGAGGACAGAAAGGAGCAAGGCCGCAGAGGACAGGAAAAAGGAAACGGCGATGCCCTGCATGAAAGCAAGGAGGTCGGATAAGTGCCGGCCCATGTAAGACCGGAGAGGGGCATTTCATTGTGTAAGTCTTATTTCGAGAACTTAATCCTCCCCGGCTGTTTCAATGTGACTCCTTCCTTCACTCCACCTGCACCCCCTGGGACCGTTGCTCGTGCCCTTATTCCTATGACTGCCTGTTCTATTCCTAGAACGGTGGCTCCCATCATAACCCTTAGTGACACATCTTTACCAAAATAAGCATTTAATATAAATATATACTGGGTCATCAGGAAAGACATGACACATTGTTGCATAGAAAAACACAGAAGGGCTAGCAGATGGTACAGCTATGTGTGGACTCCCACATGGTCGACCCTCCTTTAAGGCTGAAATTATTAAAAAAAAAAAAAAAAAAATATATATATATATATAATTCCATCTGTTATCAACCATTATTATTTTTTAATTTGACCAGACCAGAGAGAGAGAGAAAGGGAAAGTGAGAAAGCAAGCCACCAGGTCTGGGACTCGAACTGCAGTCAGCCATGTAGAGATCCAGTGCCCTTAACCACCACACCACCTGCCAGCCCCTAGACTGTAAGTTCTATCAGGACACAGATCTTGTTTGTTTATTGCTCTGTCTCCAGTGATTAGAACAGTGCCTGGTTGCTTGTTGGTAGGTGCTCAGTAAAGATTTGTTCAATAAACGATTTGACAGGACTTCGTCATTATAGGCCTTTGCAGAGTGCGTCCCAGGTAAGTGGTGGAGATGTTGATACTAACACTCATTCTTCCAGCTTGTTGGCCTGGGGAATGGTGATGTCAGTAAGAAGTTGGACCAGGTTATCTTGGTGTCAGGTTGGAAAGGAGATGATAAATCCCATGATCTATTTTCTGGGACCTGAAATAACTGTGAGACAACCAGGTGGGGATGCCTGGTGGGCACGTGGATCTCTAAGTCTGGGGATGTTCCTGAGGCAGAGAAAGGGGTGGGCTCTATCAGCCTCGCGTTAGTTAAATGCCTGGCAATAGGCAGGACTGCTGGAGAAAGCACAAGGAGAGAGAGGAGGAGGCCCAGAATGGAATCCCGGGGTACCTCCCTCTTAGTCTCCTCAGTAGGAAGGGAGAGTAAGAGGGAGAGGCAGAGAGGGAGGACAGAAAGGAGCAAGGCCGCAGAGGACAGGAAAAAGGAAACGGCGATGCCCTGCATGAAAGCAAGGAGGTCGGATAAGTGCCGGCCCATGTAAGACCGGAGAGGGGCATTTCATTGTGTAAGTCTTATTTCGAGAACTTAATCCTCCCCGGCTGTTTCAATGTGACTCCTTCCTTCACTCCACCTGCACCCCCTGGGACCGTTGCTCGTGCCCTTATTCCTATGACTGCCTGTTCTATTCCTAGAACGGTGGCTCCCATCATAACCCTTAGTGACACATCTTTACCAAAATAAGCATTTAATATAAATATATACTGGGTCATCAGGAAAGACATGACACATTGTTGCATAGAAAAACACAGAAGGGCTAGCAGATGGTACAGCTATGTGTGGACTCCCACATGGTCGACCTCAGTTCAAGTCCCAGACTCGATGGCTTGAAACTCATGCCGGTTATGCGTGTGTGCGTGCCCAAGAAACCAGGAGGAGAACGGAGGAGAAGAGATTGTGGCGTGGCCATCCCCTGGGAGGTGATTTCTCACTTTTCCTCTTGCTGTCTCTATCTCTGTCTCTCTGTCTCTCTGTTTCTCTCTCTCTGGTGACACACACGCCCTAAGGCAATAACCGCTTTAAAAAAGATGAAATACATAGAAAAGTATGTCATGACTTTGACAACCTAAAATATATTTAAACATGTGTATACACTTATAAAAATAATTTCAATGTTAAAAGTAATGTGAATATCTTTTTAAACATTCCAATACAGAGTCAGCCAATGGCATGGTGGTTAAGGAGATCACGTAACTAATCGTGTGCTTTGAGTCCCAGACTCAGCGAGTTGAAAAAGAATGTGTGAGGGGCCAGCAGGTGGCGAGGTGGTTAAGGTGCTGGACACACCCATATGGCTGACCATGGTTCAAGTCCTGGGCCTGGCAGCTTGCTTTCTCACTTTCTCTCTCTCTCTCTCTGTCTCTCTCTGATCAAATTAAAATAAAATGAATGAATAAATAAAAATTTTTAAAAAAGAAAAAGAATGTGTGTCTAGAAAGGACAATGGAGGAGAAGGGATTGTGATGTGGCCGTCCTCCCTGGGTGTGGGAGAGTGCTTTCTCACTTCCACCTCTTTTTCTCCCTCTGTTTCTTTCTGGCAAGTATATGCACACTGTAACAATTTCTTTAAAAAGTTAAAATACAAGTAGATAAGTGCATAAAGGAAAAAAAAGTTTTCTCACCCAATTTGCTTAATCCCTTGCCCTGTGGAAGGCCTCATACTAGATTTTGTACATGAGCAACTGTTTGTCTATTTTGTTTTTTTTTTACTCTTACATGGCTGGCTGTTTCTGCAAACTGGCTTCTTTTTTTATTTTTATTTTTTCATGAGAAAAGAGCTTGTGTTAGTCATACAGAAAACTGTATCTAGGGCGACATTTTGTACTGTTTTTGTTAACTAGCCCGAA